AACATCTTGAAGACGACTTATGGTAAATACTAAAATTATTTCCAATGGTCAACAACTCAGTAATGAGAGGGCACATGTTTAAGATAATCACTAAAGGAAAATAAAGGGAAGGTTAGAAAAAAATCTTTTAAAATTGGATTAGCTAAATCCTTGAAGAGGAGGAATGTTACAGTGTATGGGGAGCGAGCAGAGGAGAATACATATTATGTCTGACTGACAGGCTGCAGAGATTAAAGGAGGACAACACAGGAGACCCTCATCAAGAGCACTCAAAGAATAGTGGATTAAATATTCATGGGCTGGAGGATATTTTTAGGGATGCACTGGAAACTGGAGTAATGTCCTAGAATGGGGCAAAAAGAAAATTCAGTAAACTTCAGGCTATTTGGTCTGACATCTGCGGAGGGGAAACAGGTGGAAGCATCCTGAAGGAAGCACTAATGAAGCATCTAAAAACTGTAGAATTATTATGGGACAAAGATCATACATGACAAAGACAAATGAAGTGCTTTATGTTGGCATAGTAATGGTAATAAAATTTATACGGCAGGAGGCTTAAAGCACATATGGCGGAAAGTGAAATAACTGGCTTCTGGCCCCACTCAAGGCCTGATATTCCAACTAGACTTAGCCTGCAAGATTATTTAAACTTTAAGATGGCACAAAATTGTGAAAAGTTCTTACATGTGATCTGATTTTGTAAGGTTTTCCCTTTATAGGAAGCCAACTTCCAAATAAAGATCGAATTTAGGAATTTTGCTAAATTTTGCGTAATCTTAAATTTTAAGATAGAATGGACTAGAAGTAGTGGTGAATTCCTTTAGTTCCATGTTTCTCACTCGTCAAGTGAGACAAATTCCTTCCTCAGTATCCAAAACCATTTCAAGTCTTTACTCAATATGAACAACTTTGGAAATGTGTTTGAACCAACAAGAATCACCAAGTGAATGAATAGGATCAAACAGAAAAGAGGAAGGAGTCTGATTTCCATTGTATTGAGGCAATTTTCATACACTCAGGTCATATATTAAAAGATTTTTTAAATGTATAAGTTCATTCTGATTTGAAGAATATTTCCTTTGAATGGGTAAATCTCAGGCTGTTCTTGCTCATTTTATTATTATCATTTGTAAACAGCAATGAAGTGAACAAACAGTTTTTTTAGGGGATTATTGGTCAGGATACTGAAGAAATACCCTTTTCTTTTTGAATATTATCGTGAAATCTTTGAGCTCCAGTGACCTCAGTTTAAAGTCTCATTTGATGGAGGTCAACAATGCAGCAAACCCCAGCATTGTGTTGGTGACAGCCAACAGGTCAGCCTATACCAACCATATAGCAGGAGTCCTGTAGCTCAGTGGTTAGAGCACTCGCCTCACAAGCGAGAGACCTGGGTTCAATTCCCGGAAGGTGGTGAAACCTTGGGCAAGTTTCCCTACTCCACACGCCTGATAATAATCCCTCAAGAAAAAAAATAATAAATTGGTAACTTCAATCCACGGCTGTTTGTGGGACGCTGCTGTGTGCAATTGGCTGCCGCGTTTTGTCCACAAAATATACAGTCAATTCACTTTATTGTGAAATATTGTATATCCTGTGAAGCACTTTGAGACGTCTCAAAGATGTGATAAGGTGTTATAACAAATGCAAGAATTATTATTATTATTATATGAGTGAGATTTGAACCACAAGCTAAGGGGAGAGCGCTACAACTGAGCCAGCTGACACCTCGCTGGTTTTGCCAGTACCCAGCAGGTTTGGTGGATCCTCGCCTTATGTGACTAATCCATCAGTGACTGTGGGTTAGTCAGTCCTTCAGAACATCCTTCTATCAACGGGCGGAGCTAGTTTCATTTACATACAGTATTAACATTGACATATTACAATCCCTGTAGCGAGGGTCTCTTGGCTTGGTTTGATTTTATAAAACACGCCTTGTTAAACAGACACCAATAAAGAGAGAGAAGGATGTGGGTCTCAATGTCGGTTCAAGCTTTTACAGCCATCCCTAAACCACTGGAGGTTGAGAGATTTTCAGACGGCAGAACAATCAGTGACAGCTGTCGCCTTTCCCCTTATAAAGATGCTCGTTACCTTGTTATTTTCGGTGCAGAATTTGGTGCACATTTGAATCAATAATGACTTGCTTTTCTTAACACACAGTTATGAAGCGCTTCCACTGTGTGCCTCTCACTAACAGGGAGTCTCAGAGCCAGGACAAGCCGTCCCTCTCTCCCATCTCCTGCTCTTTCTTGCTCCTTATATAAGTCTCATCTTAGCCCAGTTTTACAGCGTCAGTTCCTCCCGATAATATCTATTGACTCTGCAAACATCAGTGTAAGAGGCGCTGGGGAAACATAGCGATGCTCTCTCTGTATGAAATTCCTTTATAATAACCAGGACCTTGTTATCCTTTTCTAAAACAAACATCAATGCCTCGAGGACATTATAATTCGCCCAGTTAATGCTCTGGAGAATTCACGGTTCATTTAAACATGGTAGCAAAACACATGAAAGAGCTGAGGAAACTCGGTGCGGCCCGGGGTTTGCGGAGCCCGTGACCCTCCCGCACCTCCCAGGGCAACAGGTCCCAAAGCCCGTGCGTAAACCTGAGAGAGACGCGGCTCCCACCTCACCGCGCGTCCTGCAAGTCTGCGCTGTGCGCACATCCCATTCCATCTCTCATCCCATCCCTCATCCCATCCCTCATCCTATCCCTCATCCCATCCCTCATCCCATCCCTCATCTCATCCCTCATCTCATCCCTCATCCCATCCCTCATCCCTCATCCCATCCCTCATCCCATCCCTCATCCCATCCCTCATCCTATCCCTCATCCCATCTCTCATCCTATCCCTCATCCCATCCCTCATCCCATCCCTCATCCTATCCCTCATCCCAACCCTCATCCTATCCCTCATCCCATCCCTCATCCCATCCCTCATCCCATCCCTCATCCCATCCCATCCCTCATCCCATCCCATCCCTCATCTCCCAGCGCTTCACCGCCAAAGCCGAGGCGTTCAGACACTAATGTACAGCTTTGCTGCGATCCCATTGCCATGTCAGTAGCTGCTGAGCCCTCACTGAGCCCCCGGTCAGCACTCGGGGCCGACCTTAATGTCACAGGAAACCACAAGCTGAGGTGCTGCCGGCGGCAGTGTGAGGGGGGGGGGGGTTGGCGTGTGTGTGGGGGGGAGTGGAGTGTGTGTGTGGGGGGTGTTGGTGTGTGTGGGGGGTGTTGGGGGGTGTGGGGGGTGTTGGGGGGGTGTTGGTGTGTGTGTGTTGGGGGGATGTGGGGGGGGGGGGTGTTGGTGTTTGTAGGGGGGGGTCCGGCCCGCGTATTACCCGCGTTTCACACACAAGCTGACTTTCAGACTTTAAATACAGAGAGTGGGTGGCGACTCCATCTTACACTGAGAGAGAGTGTGGGGGAGGCAGGGAAAGAGGGGGGGGAGGCAGGGAGAGGGGGGGGGGAAGCAGGGAGGGGGGAGGCAGGGAGAGGGGGGTGAAGGAGGCAGCGAGAGAGGGGGGGAATAGAAAGAAGGATTGAGGCAGAGAGGCAACAGATATATATATAGAGAGGCTATAGACAGAGAGTGGGGGGTGGCTAAGGCACAGAGAGTGGGGGGGAGGCAGAGAATGGGGTTATGAGGCTAAGGAGGGAGTGAGCAGAGGGAGGGGATGGGGGGGGGGGGGGGGGGGTGGGATAAGGTGCCGGGAGCAGGGGCAGGTGCGGTGTCGGCAATGAGAGGCTGACACCGGGAGGTGTGAGGATTGAGAGGGACCCGAGTAAAGGGAACCTGATCCCGGGTCCCCGGGGTCAGGACTGAGATAAAACGAGGGAGAATGAAGAATAGCCTTTAAACCCTTTACTGGGAGCTGAGGTTAGCTGTCAGTGAGGGAGGTGTAGTGACTGTCCGGGAAGAGGTGGTGACAGCCTCTCACATTCGCTGTCCAGCCTCACACCTCAGTCTCCAACATATCCCATCGCAAGTCTGTTCTGCAATGATTATTTTATGCACATCATAACTGATCATTACACAGCCGCCATTCAGACGGTCACAGGAGCTGGTCTCAATCACAGCAGGAGCTCGCCTTGGGGTCCCATCCACAGCCACAGAGTGATTGCCATCCACAGCCACAGAGTGATTGCCACCCACAGCCACAGAGTGATTGCCATCCACAGCCACAGAGTGATTGCCATCCACAGCCACATAGTGATTGCCACCCACAGCCCACAGAGTGATTGCCATCCACAGCCACAGAGTGATTGCCATCCACAGCCCACAGTGTGATTGCCATCCACAGCCCACAGTGTGATTGCCATCCACAGCCACAGAGTGATTGCCATCCACAGCCACAGAGTGATTGCCATCCACAGCCCACAGTGTGATTGCCATCCACAGCCACAGAGTGATTGCCACCCACAGCCCACAGTGTGATTGCCATCCACAGCCCACAGTGTGATTGCCATCCACAGCCACAGAGTGATTGCCATCCACAGCCACAGAGTGATTGCCACCCACAGCCACAGAGTGATTGCCATCCACAGCCCACAGAGTGATTGCCATCCACAGCCACAGAGTGATTGCCACCCACAGCCACAGAGTGATTGCCACCCACAGCCACAGAGTGATTGCCACCCACAGCCACAGAGTGATTGCCATCCACAGCCACAGTGTGATTGGCATCCACAGCTCTAACCAGCCTCAAAATGCCCACCTCTCTCTCTCTCTCCCCAACTTAGCGAAGACTGTCTTGCAGAAACATGACTAATCGCATCTCATTTCATACGCTGCACGTTCTAAGCGCTCCGAGGCGCTCCCCTGCCTGGAGGGCGCTGTCTAAGTGCAAGTTGTTGTCGTGTTAACATTACAATGCCATCTGCGTAAGCAGCTGTAAGGAAAGTGATGGCTGTAGCTCGAAGCCAAGGCGATGTGCGGCGAGACAGAGGCAGACGGACAGACAGAGAGACAGAGAGACGGGGAAGGACTCACATTTGACGAACGTTCTCCATCTCCTGCAGGTCCAGCACCGGGAAGATGGTTACGTTGTCCGGTTGGTCGCAGTGGATCTGAGTGGCTCTGCACTTACAGGTCCCCGGGCAGCTCAGCACCAGCTCCAGGCGGGAGAAACAGCCCAACATGGCCCAGAGCAGCCCCGCCACAGGCACCATAGTGACCGCTTCAGCCACTGCCGCTCACTGCCATAGAGCAACACACACACACACACACACGCACAGCCCCCTCCTCACGCCAGGACCGAGCTCCACATCACACCCAACACAGCGTCCCGATGCACAGTGCGGATACTGGAGAGTGCGGTATTCCGGGGACACTGACAGGCAGATAGGAGGCAGGAGGGAGAGAGAGGGATAGAGAGAGAGAGGGAGAGAGACAGACAGACAGACAGAGAGAGGGAGAGGTAGTGAGGGAGAGAGACAGAGAGAGGGAGAGAGAGACAGACAGACAGACAGAGAGAGAGAGGAGAGGTAGTGAGGGAGAGAGACAGAGAGAGGGACAGACAGACAGACAGACAGACAGACAGAGAGGGAGGGAGACAGACAGAGAGGGAGAGAGAGAGACAGAGAGGCAGACAGACAGACAGAGAGACAGACAGACAGGGAGAGAGGGAGAGAGACAGACAGAGAGGGAGAGGGAGCCCTGAGCTCCAGCCACACACTGAGTTACACAGAGCAGTGACGCACTGAAACATCAGACACGTGATTACACACAAATGATGGGGAGCCTCGTCTCCCCCTACACTGCCCATCATTACACACTCACACACACACACACTGCCCATCATTACACACTCACACACACACACTGCCCATCATTACACACTCACACACACACACTGCCCATCATTACACACTCACACACACACACTGCCCATCATTACACACTCACACACACACACTGCCCATCATTACACACTCACACACACACACTGCCCATCATTACACACTCACACACACACACTGCCCATCATTACACACTCACACACACACACTGCCCATCATTACACACTCACACACACACACTGCCCATCATTACACACTCACACACACACACTGCCCATCATTACACACTCACACACACACACTGCCCATCATTACACACTCACACACACACACTGCCCATCATTACACACTCAGACACACACACTGCCCATCATTACACTCACACACACAGCCCATCATTACACACACACACACTGCCCATCATTACACACTCACACACACTGCCCATCATTACACACTCACACTGCCCATCATTACACACTCACACACAGCCCATCATTACACACTCATACTGCCCATCATTACACACACACACTGCCCATCATTGCACTCACACTGCCCATCATTACACACACACACCCAGCCCATCATTACACACTCACACACACCCAGCCCATCATTACACTCACACACCCAGCCCATCATTACACACTCACACACACCCAGCCCGTCATTACACACACACACACCCAGCCCGTCATTACACACTCACACACCCACCCTGCCCGTCATTACACACACACACACTGCCCGTCATTACACACTCACACACTGCCCATCATTACACACACACACGCTGCCCGTCATTATACACTCACACACTGCCCATCATCACACACACTCACACTGCCCGTCATTCCACACTCACACACTGCCCGTCATTCCACACTCACACAACTGCCCGTCATTACACACTCACACACTGCCCATCATTACACACTCACACACTGGCCGTCATTACACACTCACACACACTGCCCATCATTACACACTCACACACACTGCCCATCATTATACACTCAACACACACTGCCCATCATTACACATTCACACACACTGCCCATCATTACACACTCACACATACTGCCCATCATTACACACCCACATACACACACTAACCCCCCCCCCATCATTACACACTCACATTGGATAAGAATAATCTGAGAGGAGGTACTAAAATGTTTGACGGAGCGTAAGGTAGATAAGTCACCCGGTCCGGACGGGATGCATCCTAGGTTACTGAAGGAAGTAATGGTGGAAATAACGGAGGCTCTTTCAATCCTTCAATCTTCCTTGGACACCGGGGTGGTGCCAGAGGACTGGAGGGTTGCAAATGTTACTCGATTGTACAAAAGAGGCAAAGGATAAACCCGGGAACTACCGGCCAGCCAGCCTAACGTCAGTAGTGGGGAAACTTCTAGAGACTATAATTCGGGACAAAATAAATTTTCACTTAGAAAAATATGGGTTAATAAAGACACACGGATCAACACACGGATTTGTTAAAGGCAAATCATGCCTAACAAACCTGATAGAGTTTTTTGATGAAGTAACGGAGAGAGTGGATGAAGGTAGTGCAATTGATGAGTTTATATAGATTTTCAAAAGGCATTTGATAAAGTGCCACATAAGAGACTTGTAAGTAAAATCGAAGCCCCCGGTATTAAAGGGACAGTGGCAGCGGATACAGAACTGTCTGGGAGACAGAGAGCAGAGAGTGGTGGTGAACGGCTGTTTTTCTGACGAGGGAAGTGTGCAGTGGTGTCCCCCCGGGGTCGGTATTGGGGCCACTGCTGTTTGTGATCTATATAATTGACCTGGACTTGGGTATAGGGAGTACAATTTCCAAGTTTGCAGATGATACTAAGCTGGAAAAGTAGTAAACAGTGAGGAGAATAGTAGCAGACTGTAAGGGGACATAAACAGACTGGTAACATGGGCAGACACATGGCAGATAAAGTTTAATGTGGAGAAATGCAAAGTGATGCATTTACGGAGGAAGAATGAGAAGAGGCAATATAAGCTGATGATACAATCTTAAAGGGGGTGAAGGAACCGAGAGACCTGGGGGTTCATATAAGCAAATCTTTGAAGGTGGCAGGACAGGTAGATAAAGCTGTTAAAAAAGCATACGGGATACATTTGAAAGATTGAAAGAGCCTCCGTTATTTCCACCATTACTTCCTTCAGTAACCTAGGATGCATCCCGTCCAGACCGGGTGACTTATCTACCTTACGCACCGTCAAACATTTTAGTACCTCCTCTCAGTTTATACATCGTGGAGTCCTGTAGCTCAGTGGTTAGAGCACTCGCTTTGCAAGCGAGAGACCTGAGTTCAATTCCAGGCAGGTCAGGGCCAAACCTTGGGCAAGTTTCCTTACTCCACACAGAGCCTAATAATAATCCCTCCAAAACCCAAAACAATAATAAATTGGTCATTTTCATTCTACGACTGTTTGTGGGACATTGCTGTGCGCAATTGGCTGCCGCGTTCGCCCACAAATATACAGTCAATTCACTTTACAGTGTGTTCTGTGAAGCGCTTTGGGATGTCCTCCTGACATGAAAAGCGCTATATCAAATGCAAGGATTATTATTATTATTATTAGTATTTATAAATGGGGCAGAGAATACAAAAGTCAGGAAGTTATGATGAACCTTTAAAAATCCCTGGATAAGCACTGCTCATCATTACACACACACAGCCTATCACTACACTCTCTCTCACACACACAGCCCATCATTACACTCTCTCTCACATGCACAGCCCATCATTACACTCTCACACCAATGTCCATCAATACACTCACACACACTGCCCATCGTTACACTCTCTCACACACACACACACTCTGACCATTGTAGCCGGCATCAGGAGTGCTCCAATGTTGGTTAATCTCGTCAAATACTCTAACAGAAATGTCACTAATGTTATTAAAAATCTATAAAAGTAGCAGAAGCCTTGGTGTCGTGTCTGGTTGTTGTTGGTCTAACCGAGTCACAGTGTAACCAGAAACCTAAACCAATCTTACAAATATCCACGAATGGGATGATTGTTGTGCAATTGCTAACATTAATTTGCTGAATCTTGAATAACAGATCCCTTGTGTTTATTGATTCCAATAGCTACAGAGATATTGGGTGGGATAAATAATGTGTGTGGGGAGGGGGGTAGGAGTTTGGCTGTGTATATGTGTTTCTGTAGGGGGACGTTGGCTGCGTGTGGGGGGGAGAGTTTGCTGTGTGGAGAGGGAGAATTTGCTATGGTGGGGGGGGGGGGAGAGTTGACCGTGTGTGTGTGTGGGGGGGGAATAGTTGGCCATTGTGTTTGGGGGGGGAAGAGTTGGCTGTGGGGGGGGGAGAGTTGACTGTGGTGGGAGGGGTAGAGTTGGCTGTGTGTGAGGGGGTGGGGGAGAGTTGGCTGTGTGTGTGAGGGGAAGAGTTGGCCATTGTGTTTGGGGAGGAAGAGATGGCTGTGTGTGGGAGGGGAGAGTTGGCTGTGGGGCGGGGGGAGTTGACTGTGGGAGGGAGGTAGAGTTGGCTGTGTGTGAGGGGGNTTTAGAGTTGGCTGTGTGTGTGGGTAGGGTGTTGGCATATTCTACCCTGGTAAGATTATGTGGTTGGCAGACACTAGGTCCATGAATAGAATGTGCCCTAAATTCACAGATTTAGCGACAAGCTCCCGTGAAAATTAATTTTAAAAGCCTATAAATAGCTGCAATGACATTGGCCTTTATTCAGAGAGAGCTTTAACCAGTCATATCTGGCTTTCACTTGCAGCGTTTGATAAAATTAAAGTTGTAAAACAGAAAGATGTCAGCCTTACACCAGACCCCACGTTTGAGCTATGTGCACTGGCTCCAGTCACACCCTCGGGTGGTGCTCAGTGAAAGCTCACACATCAGGGCCATGGCTCTGACACTGACACCTCCTCAAAAGCTGCATTTGCCATCAGAGTATATTCTGCATTTTAGTTTTGCAAATATGAATAAAATGTGAAAATAAGCATTCTATTCAGGGAGTTTTGTTTCACAAGATGACAGTATAATAATCACTCCTCTATGTGTCTTCCTGAATGTTATTCACTTGCAGGTGAGGGATGTCAGTGCTGGAGTTGCAACATTTTCATAGTTCAGTTTCAGCATTTCGCACTCCAAGGGCATATTGTAGGGCAGGAGGAAGAATAAATCTTCTGCTTTGCCCCAGTGATGCAGGTTAACTGTAACAGAGGAGTTAATAAGTAGAAGGCATAACCTTAACCCATAAATTACAAAAAAAAGGAAGGGTTAGTTTCTTTAAATAGGGTTATTGGGACATGGAATTCTCTACCAAATGTAGAGGTTGAGGCACAAAACCTAATACAGCAGCCTTCAAAAGGGAATTAGACAAATATTAAAACTGGAAAAGTCAAGTGGCCTTCATCTAAGACACTAAGAGACCTGTTACTGTAGATCAGAAAGATCGTCATTTCATCAGTTTTGCTGGTGCAGAACCACAAGGACACAAGTGAAGGTCCTCGGTTTGGTCAGCTGGGTGTCTGCCACCTGGAAACCCATCACAATGCTTAAGAGG